GCGTTGGGCGGTGGGGTGGGGGGCAAGGAATCCCTCAGAATGGACACAGGGGACGGCGTAGTACAAATGACAAACATTTCCTTCCTGTGTTATCCGGCGCGCCCCGCACTCCCCGGGAGGAAGGCCGAGCCCTGCGATCCTAATCTAGGCGCACATGGCCGACGTCTCCTACAAGTGACAACCCGCAGGATCAATATTCCTGGAAACAATGAGCGCACCGATCTGCAATGTATGGAAGAGGAATTGTGTGGGGGAGGGGAGGGGGGGGCGCCCCGTCCCGGGAAGAAATGTGAATTCAAACAACGGCCAAAGAAAGTGATAATCTGGGAGGGAGATCCAGGAACGGGGCCGCGAACTCCGCTGGAAGACACGACGTATGACCTCATCCGCAGAGCGCTGCCGCCCTCTGCTGGTCACGCGTGTGTAATGCAGCGCAGCCCTCTGCTGGTCACGCGTGTTCAATGTGGCGAGTACCTGGATCCAGGTGGGTGAAGGAGCCAATCACGAAGTCCAGAGTGGAGACGGCCAATAGGAATAGGAGCAGCAGCTGCAGCCGAATGATCCACTTCACTCCGGCCAGGTTGATGCCGAGCAGTCCGAGCAGCACCGCCAGCGAGATTCCCCGGACCGCCCAGGTGCTCTGCAGGCGGAGGAGGTCCGAGATGGACTCGGCGAATCCCGTGATGTACATGGCGCCTGCAACACACTGAGGAACCCACATCATGTATGTCGTCATCATCATCATCACTAAACGCAACGCATGACCGATCTACCGCAATCTCATATGACCTCACGGGAACCTGTCATGGGGCCGCCACGGCTGACCTGCGCTAGGAAATGCTAATTATCTGGCTGGAATCCCCGAACATCAGAAATGTCCGAGAGATAAATCCCGCCTCTGTGACCTCGTCCCGCCTCCGTCACTCAAAGTCCTGAACCCGGAGGATCGGCATGACAGCCGCGCACACCGGACTCATCAGGATGAAGCTTCAGCAATATCTCCCTTCTTATGGAAGTGGCTACAATCTCCCTGAGAGATCGATACAATGTCACGGCCGCTCTGATTGGATACAAATGTAACAGGAAGTTCGGGGAGATCGTCACGTGACCTCTGTTCCTGCTAAATCAAAGATCGTCCAATAAAACGGGTAACTATGGTAACAATAATCTCTCCAGTTGGCTCCTCCCACATCGGCGGCTATTAGATATTAATAAGGAATGTATCTTTATATAGGAAATTATATCACATGAAGCCCCGCCCACGCCCCTCCCCCCAATATGAGGGGAGACCCAATGGTGGAAAACATTTCTAGATATCGATCTGACGTCTGCAATCCCCAATTATTCCCGATCGGCAACAAAATATCGATCGACTCTCCATATATCAGACAGTATTTGTAATCAATCGAGGTGATCGAGTCCATCAGGCAAAGTGGACTCAACAGAATATTGATCAGCTACAAAGTAGAGGGGAAATTTGTGGGCCCCTC